TCCCACCTGACTCCTCCCACCAGCTCAACTCTGACTCCTCCCACCTGACTCCTCCCACCAGCTCCACTCTGACTCCTCCCACCAGGGGAAAATGCCCTCCTGACCTTCTTGGCCTCTCTGGGCAGCAGCAGCTCCAGCGTCGCCACGCTGGTCTCCCTGAAGGTCCGGTTGCCTTTCCCTCTGGCCACCGCCTGAGCCCGGATGGACTCCAGAGCGCCCCCTACCTCCTCCGCGGACAGGCCCAGGAGCGGGGCGTAGTGCTGCGCCAGCTCCTGGAGGACAGAACATCAGATCGAGACGCTGCTGTAAGCCACCAGGAGCCACATTTAATTCACCTGTTTCACTTAATCTACGGAAGACTTTCACTGCCAGAATCTGGAGATAAACTGAGGAGCAGAATCAGGTTTGAACAAAAAAAGCTGTCAAAACAAGGGGAAGCCTGTAAGATTGGAATAAAAAAATCTCTCTAAAATGAGAAGGATTTTTGTTAAACCGATATAAAACTCAACCTTGAGGAATTTCCTCATTAAAGCAAGATATAAGACGAGAAACTTTAACATTATAAGTTGAGTTTTAAATCGTCACCTTAAAATCGTGACTCAAGTTAAGTTTGAAAAAGAAAAATGACTTAGGCCATCATTTAGGAAGGGGAAGATTTTATTTTATAAAACAAGACTTTCTCGTTATATTAAAACAAAAAACTCATTAAAATGAGACTAATTTTAATGATCTTTGCTACTGAATTTATATCCAATCTCTGGCAGTTTGTTGCTTCTCCAGATCAAACTGCTCTCTGATCTGCAGCTGCTGTTAATCCTCCTCATCCTGTAAACCCTTCAGGTGTTTCCTCAGGCTGACCCAGCTCCGTGTTTCCCTGCTCGGCTCCTCCAGACTTTCTGCCTGCAGGTTTCAGGTGTTTCCTGCTACAGCCCAGATGATTTCAACTGGCAGCTGGTTGCTGAGCTGCAATCAGGTGAATAATCAGGCGTCTTAAAGCAGGGGAACCTCTAAAATACGCAGGGCAGTGAGTCTGGAGGACCAGGGTTGGGAAAACCGACCTATAGACTCTGTGGAGACATTCTCCTTCAGCCAATCAGAGCGCAGTCTCACTCCGACCCACCTGCAGGTGCACGGCGCTCGGTTGGTCGTCCTCCTGGGTGAACGGAGGATTCCACAGCTGAACTTTCTCCTGCTTCAGCAGGTTCTTCAGCTTGGCCTGGAGGTTCTGCTCCGCCATGCTGTCTGTAATGACCAAGGACAGGAAGTCAACCACAGGACAGGAAGTCAACCAGAGGACAGGAAGTCGACCAGAGGACAGGAAGTCGACCAGAGGACAGGAAACCAAAGGACAGGAAGTAGACCAGAGGACAGGAAATCACAGGACAGGAAGTCGATCAGAGGACAGGAAACCACTGGATAGGAAGTCAACCACAGGACAGGAAGACAATCAGAGGACAGGAAACCACAGGATAGGAAGTAGACCAAAGGACAGGAAGTAGACCAAAGGACAGGAAGTCGACCAGAGGACAGGAA